TTTTTTTAATTGCCAGAGGGTACATGTGCTTGCCAGGGAGAGACAGAGCAATGGGGAGATACCCCTCCTGGATTCTGGTCATGTTGCAGTCCCTTCTTCTTCTATTTTTCTTTCCTGTAGAATTTGGGCTCTACACACACACACACACACACACACACACACACACGTGCACACACACATGAACACACATACACACACATACATGCAGACATGCACACACACACATACACACTGTCTTTTTCAAGGGGATGGGGCTGAGATTTGAACTGCAGTTGGCTATGTGGGACTCCACTTCCCTAACCACCAGGCTATGGAACTGGCCTCTTAACCTAATCCGCCTGTTTTCATTTTGATTCTGGTGATCCATTAGCTACAGTGTTGTAGGATGGTCTTTATGAGGTATAAATCTATGTTCTCCATTGTGTGAATGAGCATTTCTAATCTCAGCCTCACTTTTTCATCCACAAAATAGGGATAATAAAGGTACATTCTTCATGGGATGATTGGGAGGAATACATTTTAAAATATAAGTAAAATATTTTGTATGTCATTGAGCTTACTAATTATTTAATGGAAATTAGTGGTTTTTTTTTTAGAGTTTTTTGCTATAGGGTACATGTATTTACCAGAAAGAAAGAGATGGAAAGTGAGAAATCACCCCCCAGGGGCGATGGCCACGCCATAATCCCTTCTCCTCCATTCTCCTCTCGGGATCTTGGGCCTGGCGTGAGTTTAAGCCACCGGGTCTGGGACTTGAACCTTGGTTTGACTACATGGGAGTCCAGCGACATAGCCATTATGCCAACTGCTGGTCCCAGTTACTTTTTTTTTTTTTTTCCCCAACTGTTCTGTCACTTTACAATCCTTTTTTTTACGTTTTTGCAATAGGGCATGTGCACTTGCTAGAGAGAAACAGAGAGAAAAGTGAGAAATCATCATGCAGGCGTAAATATCCATGCTGCAGTCCCTTCACTTTCATTTTTCTCTTAGGATTTTGGGCATGCATGCACATGCACCCGGTGTGATTTTCAAGTTGCGAAATCTGGAACTCAGACTGTGGTATACAGTGTGGAAATCTAGCACCTTAACCACCACTCCACCTGTTGACCCCCATAATATGTATTTGTTGTGAACTTTTTGAAGATCCCTTCAATTAGCTGCTAAATAAATATTTATTCTATTGAATGAATGAACAAATGAATGGAAAGGAAGAGAGAGCATGGTTAAAGCAAAGGACTCTTGGGCCTGGTTTATATCCCAGTTCTGGGATTTGCTTTCTTCGTGACCTTGAATGTATTAATCTCTTTATGCTGCCTTTTCTCTCTCTATTCAGTGGGATTAAGGATGGAATTTCCTTTGTAGGGCTGTAGCAAGGATTAAGTGAGTTAACATACATGTAAAGCTCCTAGAACAGAGCACAGCAGGTAGTAAGCTTTATTCAAGTGTTAGCAGCTGTTGCTGATGCTGTTACCGTTGTTTTTATTGTTTTTCTGATGACTCATAACTCATAAACATCTTCACTGTCAAGAACACTGTTAACTTTATGCATTTAAATTGGCTACGAATATTTAGATAATGTTCAAATCATAAAAATTGTTTAATATGCTGTGGATTCTTTGTTTTTACAGGGCTCTATGGAGCAAGTCAGTTCTCATTTCTTGGAGCAGACTCTTGACAAGAAGCTGATGTCAGATCTGAGGGTAACAAATTCTTTGCTGTTTACACTCCAATTTCTGTAACCAGCATCAGTGTCGCTACATACTGAGTTGTGCTAATTTAATTTAGTAGCCTCTGCATTCGAGAAACTGATGTAGGGTGACTAGATTACATTTTAATTTAAAATTTTGGTAACTTTAACCAAATTACAAGTGACTTCATAACATTTTGTGTTACTGCAATGAAATACTTTGCACAGGCTGTGTTTCACAAAGAAAAGGCAAGCTTAACTTTTTTTTCCTCTTTTCTTTCTTTCCTTTAAAAAACTTTTGTCAGAGAATGTGTTTACTCCCCAGAGAAGTACAGAGAGAGAGAAACACAGACCCCCAGGTGTGGCCCCACTACATTCACTTCTCTGTTTCTCCATCCTGTTGGGATTTGGGGCATACCCATACACATGCCTGGCATGTTTTTCAAGCCGTTGGGGCTGTGGTGTTATGGAAACATAGAGAAGGAAATGCGCATGGTGAATAGGCATGGAAGGGCAGCACACGGGTTTCCAAGACGTGTTCTGAGGCTCAGGCTTTACTGCTAGATCTGCCCATGTCCTTGCCGTCACAGGTCCTCTGTCCCAGCAGTGCCTCTGAGATGACCAGCCATGAGGTTACGGATTCAACACTGAGGGAAGTTTGTGGGAGGCTGATGCATAATGCAGAGTGCCGTTTCATTCGTATGCAGTGACAACCACAGCTATCTAGTTGACTGTGTATTTACTTTCAGTGACCCCTGTATTTCCCTTAGATGATCTGCATGGAAAGAGAAGTTACTAGAATATTATTTGGTAAGCACAGTATTGCTCAAGTAGAGCACAGCATTACCAAGTAGAGACTGACCTCTATTTTTTTTATTCTTTTTTTGAGAGGTTTTTGCTATAGGGCACATGCGCTCTCCAGGCAGACAGAGAGAGACAGAAAGCCAGAAATCACCCCCCAGGGGGTATGGCCATGCTGCAATCCCTTCTCCATTCTCCTTTTGGGATCTTGGGCATTACTCCTGGGATCTTGGGCATTACTCCTGGGATCTTGGGCATTACTCCTGGGATCTTGGGCATTACTCCTGGGATCTTGGGCATTACTCCTGGGATCTTGGGCATTACTCCTGGGATCTTGGGCATTACTCCTGGGATCTTGGGCATTACTCCTGGGATCTTGGGCATTACTCCTGGGATCTTGGGCATTACTCCTGGGATCTTGGGCATTACTCCTGGGATCTTGGGCATTACTCCTGGGATCTTGGGCATTACTCCTGGGATCTTGGGCATTACTCCTGGGATCTTGGGCATTACTCCTGGGATCTTGGGCATTACTCCTGGGATCTTGGGCATTACTCCTGGGATCTTGGGCATTACTCCTGGGATCTTGGGCATTACTCCTGGGATCTTGGGCATGCACGCACACACCCAGCTTGAGTTTAAGCCACCGGGTCTGGGACTTGAACCGTGGTCGAGTCCATGAGAGTCCAGCAACAGAGCCATTATGCCAATGGCTGGTCCCGCAGTTTTAACTTTAATAAGTCAAAGAAATGCTAAGGAACTTTGCTTAAAACTTAAAACCAGGAAACACAGGTTAGAATTATGTTCAAATAGTAGGTGCATGAACCTATCAGCATCCTAAGACAGGACAGAAATCCTTAAAACTGGAATACAAAGTCTAGAAGAAAATCAGCAATGTTTAGTCAAAAGTCACAAAACGCTGACTTCCTTTTTTTGTTGTTGTTGAGAGATTTTTGCTATAGGGCACATGCGCTCTCCAGGCAGACAGAGAGAGACAGAAAGCGAGAAGTCACCCCCTAGGGGGGATGGTCACGCCGCAATCCCTTCTCCATTCTCCTCTCGGGATCTTGGGCACGCACACACACATGCCCAGCGTGAGTTTTAAGCCACCGGATCCGGGACACAAACTGCGGTCGACTACATGGGCGTCCAGTGACATAGCCAATACGCTAACTGCTGGTCCCACAAAATGCTGACTTTTAATGGGACTGAAGACCGTTGTTCTCTAGAGTTAGGTGCATCGTCTACCCAAGAAGGTGTTTGAAGGGACACTGCCTTTACTTGCCTCTCTAGCCCACCCTTTCCTGTGTCGTTACTATGGCAAACATAACTGTCTGTCCGATTACCACGTTCTTCAGATGTATATTTTTTTTTGGGGGGGAGAGGTTTTTCGCTATAGGGTGCGTGCGCTCGCCAGTCAGACAGAGAGAGACAGAAAGCCAGAAATCACCCCCCAGGGGGTATGGCCATGCTGCAATCCCTTCTCCATTCTCCTCTCGGGATCTTGGGCATGCACGCACACGTGCCCAGCGTGAGTTTTAAGCCACCGGGTCCAGGACGCGACCCGCGGTCGACTACGTGGGAGGCCAGCGACATAGCCATTACGCTAACTGCTGGTTCCCATTCTTCAGATATCTTTATACTCTTTAGACCCATGAGCCTTCAATCTCCCTTCAAGAATGAGTTGTCAGGAAAGTTGTGACACGTTTTGTGTAGAAAAACAGAAAAATATGCCGTGACTTTCCTGATGACCTAATATGTTTCTTTGCTCTGAACTACTGAGTAATTAGTAAAAGTCTCACTCTCCGAGAGTATTTTTATTTCCTGCCTTCTCATGTTCTCAGGGTTCACCTTGATGTTCCTCATGAACCTCCTGTGAGTGAGCGGTAACTGTTTCTGTCTTCTGCAGAGAAAACGTACCGCACACGAGCGTGCCAAGGAACTCTACAGTTCAGGGGAGTTTTCCAGCGGCAGGAAGTGGGGAGACGATGCTCCTAAGGAAGAAGTCGATACGGGGGCAGTAAACTTGATCGAGTCCGGAGCTTGTGGAGCTTTCGTTCATGGGTTGGAAGATGAGATGTATGGTGAGTGTGACTGAGTCATGATGATACCACCCATTTCCATCACGAGTTGAAATGGTACAAGGTGATGGGGCCAGGTGTGGGGGGGGAGACGTGGTGGTTAAAGGCACTGGATTCCCACATGGCTGTCTGCGGTTCAAGTCCCAGATCTGGCAACTTGCTTTCTTGCTTTCCCTCCCTCTCTCTCTTTGTCTCTTTCTGGTCAAATTTGAAAAAAAAAAAAAAAATAGAGGGACCAGCAGTTGGCATAATGGCTATGTCGCTGAATTCCCATGTAGTTGACTGTGGTTTGAGTCCAGGACCCAGTGGCTTCAACTCATGCCGGGCGTGTGTGCGTGCATGCCCAAGATCCTGAGAGGAGAATGGAGGGGAAGGGATTGCAGCATGGCCATCCCTCCTGGGGAGTGATTTCTTGCTTTCTGTCTCTCTGTCTCTCTCTGTCTTTCTGGTGAGTGCATGTACCCTATAGCAAAAACCTCCAAAAAAAAGCAAGAAAAAGAATGACAGATGGAATTAAATAAGTAAATGATTCTTTAAGAAAAAAAAAAAGGAGTGGTACTGGGTGATATACGTGCGTTGTCTCATTTGTCCTCACAGTTCCTCTGTGAAATACTGATGAGGATTTTAATTTACAGATAGAGGAGGCTGAGGCCCAGGTAGTGTAATACAGTGGTTAGGGCATGGGCTTTGGGTTCAGCCACTCTAGATTCAGATTTTAGCGTTTCCATGAAATGGGGATGATAGTAAGTCGCAGAGTTACAAGAATTAAGTGAGGTTCTATGTGTACGTTAACGCTCGGCACAGTACGTGTCCTATTTTAGTAAGCATTTCATAATTTTTAATAAAAATTGATATTAATAGAAATAATAGTTCAATAGTCACCCAGCTACTGAGAGATCGAGGAAGATTTACATTCATGTATGTCTGACCACAAAACCTCAATATATGTGTGATAAAGATTTTCTTTCACCTTTTTTTTTTCTCCCAGGGATTTTTGCCACTGTTCTGCTGAGAAGGGAGAGAGAGAAGGAAAGTGAGAAATCACCCCCCAGGCATGATGGCCATGCCACAATTCCTACTCCTCCATTCTCCTCTCAGATTTTGGGCACACACGCACATGCGCCCAGTGTGAGTTTAGGTCTGGGACTCGAACTAGTCAGCTCTGTGGGAGTCCAGCATCGTAACCACTGCGCGTTACCTGCTAGCCCGTCGCCTTCATTTTGAGAGACATTTTTATGGAAATAGAATTCTAGATTAATGGGACCTCCCCCCAATTCTTTAAAAAGTTTTTTTTTGTTTTTTTATTTTATAGAAACCGGGCATTACTAAGTTGCTGTAAGGCACGTGTACTCACAGAGAGACAGAGAAAAAGAGGGAGAGAGAAAGCAAGCCACCAGGTTTTGAACTTGGTTCTGGCATTTGTTACGCTCCGGTCATATTTTTAAGCTTTGCTAGGCATGGCCAGAGCAGTATTCAGGCTAGAGCTTATTTTTCCTCACTGTTGAAGCAAAATTCGTCTGAATAAACTATTATAGCTCTGTGTGAACTCTGGAGCCTGGTCCCATTCGTACTTTTGGGAGTTCTTTTCCCGGCCTCAGATGATTTCTCACAGGTGAGAACTCAGCCCACGACCTGAGGGGCACCCTCTGCGGATCCTGAGCTATTTTTCTGCAGTTCTCTCTGGCCGGTACGTTGCTATGTGGACAGTGGGCTCCCTGGACTACTAGCTCTATCGTCTCATGGTAGGGAGACCTGCAGCTTGTAAACTCCACACTAACTGCTGTCCTCCTGGAGCACCTCATTTATTTCCCAGATCCCTGGGATCGCTGGCCTACACTGCCTGATGCTCAGCGTCTGGAATACTACTACTTAATATATTTTATCCGGAAGGATAAAGGTGGTTCTCTTTTCTCCATCTTGGCTCCTAATACAAGTCCTGTAAAGCTCTGTGATTTATGTCATGTGATGCTGTCTGTCTCACCTGGATTGTAGTATGTCAGCACTTCGAAGTCGTTGATGGTAGCCGTCTCATTTTCAGACCTGGGAAAGTAATGTTGATTATCAAAATTTTATAGTAATTTTGTATCAGAGATGGGATGAAAACCTTAAAATGCCTTAACAATGAAAGTCTTAAAAATGCCTGTCGGGGGGTGGCAGGTGGCATGCTGGTTAAGGGTGCTAGACTCCCACATGGTGAACCAGGGTTCGAGTCCTGGACCTGGTGGCTTGCTTTCTCACTTTCCCTCTTTTTCTCTGTCTCTCTGTGAGTACACGTGCCTTATAGCAAATTAAATAGTAATAATAATAAAAATTAAATAATTCTTGGGACTGGCAGGTGGTATGGTGGTTAGGGTGCTAGACTCCCACATGGTTGACTGTAGTTTGAGTCCTGGACCTGGCAGCTTGCTTTCTCACTCTCCCTTTCTCTCTCTCTGTCTCTCTCTGGTCAAATTAAAACATAATAACAAAAATTAAATAGATAAATCTTTTTTAAAAAAATAATTATTTATTTAACTTCATTTATTCATTCATTTATTTTAATTTGACCAGAGAGAGACAGAGCGGAAGGGAGAAAGCAAACCACCAGATTCAGGACTTGAACCATGGTCAGCCGTGTGGGAGTGTCCAGTGTCTTAACCACCACTCCACCTGCTGGTCCCAGATAAATAATTCTTTAAAAAAATTCTTTAAATAAGTGCCTGTAGGTCTAGCTGGTAGTATGTGGACGAGGCAGCTGGACTGGCTGCACATGGCCAGCTGTGTGGTTCGAGTTCTACACCCGGCGACTGAAAAAACATGCTGGGCATGTATGTGTGCATGCCCAAATTCTGAAAGGGGAGTGGAGAATGGATTGCAGCATGACTATAAGCCCTGGGGAGTGCTTTCTCACTTTTCCTGTCTCTTTCTCTCTGGTGAGTGTATGCATCCTATAGCTAATTATTTTTTTTTTCCTCATAGGCCTTCTGCAGTTGCAGAAGGGGGAGAAACAGAGACAGAGAGAAAGTGAGAAATCACCCATTGGGGGGATATTCACCCCACAGTTCCTTCTCCTCCATTCTCCTGGGGTTTTGGGCACACACTCATACGTACCCGACATGATTTCCAGTCTGCCAGGTCCAGGATTTGGCCAGGTTTGCCATGTGGGAGTCCAGTGCCTTAACCTCTACACTACCTATTGGCCTCATTGTAGCAAATTTTTAAAAAATGTCTATAAAAATTGCTTCAGGATAGAACTTTTTAGAAAGGCAAGGTATTCTTTTTCAGAGAGAGTTTTTATCAGTAGGCGTAAGAATCTGATTAACCCGATGGAACTTGCACTAAGATGTTCCACCTGCACATAAATGAACTCTGCTCTTTTATTCTCTGTGGACTTGGACCTTGAACTAGTATTAAGTAAGGAAGTACAGTTATTAAACCCGTTTTAGCCAAAGATGAGTTACCGAAACCTGTTTTATTTTGTCCCTGTAAACATTTTTGCTTTACTTATTTTCTGTAATTGACTTTTGTCATTCTCAATGTTGATGTGGTTTACTTCCAATTTGTCACTAAATTTAATTAAACTCATTAATTTTGGAATATGAGTAGACCACAACCACACACTAGGTATGGCAGCATTTTTTTTTTTTTTTTTTTTTTTTTTTTTTTTTTTTTAGTGTTTTGAATCTGACATGAGGCCTGTGTACGCTCCAGAGAAAGACAGAAGGAGAGGGAGCGAGCACCCCCAATGAAATGTGCCACACTGCAATCCCTTCTTCATTCCCACTCTGTAAGATTTGGGGCATGTACAGATACATGCCTAGGGTTTTTTTAAGTCGCCAGGGCCAGGATTGTGTGATCCAACTGTTTAACCATGTGGTCATGGGCCTGGCCCAGCAGTTTTCTAATTTTATTTTATTTTAATAATTCTGAGGGGGGCTGGCTCTGTGGCACAGCAATCATGTGCTCTTCATGACAGTCAGGTCCATGTGGTGACTGCTATTTGGGTCCCTGGCCTGGTCTTCCTGAAACATGTGGGCACACACGAGCAGCCCACACAGTAAGTGTCCTGTCACTTTATCACGAAGAAAGAGAACAGCTTCTGGGGGGGCAGCAGGTGTGCTGGTTAAGGTGCTAGATTCCCACATGGACTACTCTGGTTCGAGTTCTGGATCCAGTTGCTTGAAAATCATTCTGGGGTGTGTGTGTGTATGTGCCCAAGATCCAGAGAGGAGAAAGGCGAAGGGACTGAGTTGTGGCCATTCCCCTCCCCGGGGGTGGTGGTGGTGGTGGTGGTGGTGATTTCTCGCTTTCCTTTTCTCTGTCTCTCTCTCTGCTAAATGCGTGACCCTATAGCAAAAAAACTAAGAAAAAAAAAAATCCCAGAAAACTATTTCTGGGGTCAGTCAGGTAGCCTGGTGGTTAAAGCCATTGAAGAACTGATTTGAGTGCCAGATCTGGTGGCTTGAAAAAATAGGCTGGGCACCTGTGCATGTGTGCCCAAAATCCTGAGAGGAGAGTGGAAGACAAGGGATTACTACATGGCCATCCTCCCGGGAGGGACTTTCTCTCTCTCTTTTTGTCCATTGAGAGTGTATGTGCCCTATAGTAAATTAAAATTAGAAAACAAGTTTCACTAAGTTAGGGTTTTAGGAGCGTGTTCCTGGCCATGAAATGGAGTCTTGCTTCATTCACTGGAGACTGTAGTGTAACACCTCCTCCGATTCTTCCATTGGCCTTCCCTTTGGGACTGTATACATGAGCTCCTCTGTCTAGAAAGGCTTTCTTTTGGCCTAACAGCATCTTGAGGTATTGCCTTAGGGGTCATTTGTTCCAGAAAGTTTTCTCTGTTCTCGTTGGCTGGGCTGTGTGCTGCTTTTACGTTTTCTAATACACCCCACGCTTTTCCACAGTAACTCCCCTCACTGTTAATTTAGTGAGTGCTGCTTGTTTGTAAGCGTTGGGAGATGGTCTTGTTCATCCTTTTGTCTTTGGTACTAAACTCAAAGTCGTAAGTAGCCAATCCAGGATCTGATTGTACATGTTCAGATGCCAAGGGTTGCTCTTTTTTCTTCCCCTAATATAACAGATTCCTCTTCTGTGTCTTGGGACCTTAAGGAGTCTTCAAAATTCTAGCACGTCCAGTGGAAAATGTGGATTGATTTGCCTGTAGCGAGCTGTACAGACAGCAAAACACCATGTTTCTTTGCTTCTACCCAGAATTGCATCAGCTCAGCTCACTGTGATTTTTCTCATGTGGATCCAAAGTTCTCTGTAATTGTCTTGATGAATTGCAGAGGTTCTGCCGAAGCAGCCTGGAGTGGCTGCTAAAGCCCTGGGAAGAAGAGCCAGCAGTTATCTTGTTCAGGGTCATCTCTGGCTTGTTTTGCTGTATACCCTCCCCCCTTTTTAATAATAAAAAACATGTGTGCTCACGAGAGAAAGAGTTGAGGGGCATCTTTGGTAGTCTTGTCATGCCTCCGCCTCCCTTTCCAGCCCCCTGTCTCCTCAGGATCCTGGGCCCAGGATCCGTATGTTTTCCGGGTTGACCCAGGTTCTGCACCATAGTCCCCATGCATGACTCCTGAACCACAGCAGCTGGGCCAGAAAATCCTGCCCTCTGGTGAAAGGAGAATTTTAAATACTCAGAAAAATCAGAACCATCTCCTTTTAAGGTAATAACTTTTTTTTTAAAGAGTGATTTTTGCTCTAGGATACTTGGAGAGAAGAGAGACAGAAACAGAGAAAGAAAGTGGAAATCACTCCCCAGGGGGATGGCAGTTCAGCAGTCCCTTCTCCTCTCAGGATCTTGGGCACGCATGCACACATGCTCGGCATGAGGTTAAAGCCACTGGGTGTGGGATATGAACTGCGGTCAACCGTGTGGGAGTCCAGCGACATAACCATGACACCATTTGCTGCTCCCAAGGGATAACTCTTTTTTTTTTTTTTTTTTTTTTGAGAGGTTTTTGCTATAGGGCGCATTCGCTCGCCAGACAGACAGAGAGAGACAGAGATACAGAAAGCAAGAAATCACCCCCAGGGGGGATGGTCACGCCGCAGTCCCTTCTCTTCCATTCTCCTCTCGGGATCTTGGGCACTCACGCACACGCGCCTGGCGTGAGTTCTAACCCACCGGGTCCGGGACGCGAACTGTGGTCGACTACATGGGAATCCAGCGACATAGCCATTACGCTAACTGCTGGTTCCCCCAAGGGATAACTCTTAATGTGTCTATGATACCTTTCTTATGCAAAGGAAAAAATATTTTGTGAGTTTTTAAAAGTGTATTTCTTTAAAGTGAGGGAAAAAGAGAAAGAAAGAGGGACACGGACATAACGATAGGGATCCGCAGCAGGGTCGTCACACCAGGATCTCTCTCCAGCCTTCGCCTCCTGCATCCGAGGCAGGCCTGTGCTCCCAGTTAATACAGCCGGGCCGTGGGATGTGAACCTTCTTTCTTCCTTTCCTTTCCTTTTCCTTCTTTCCTTCCTTCCTTCCTCTCCTCTCTCCTCTCCCTTTCCCTTTCTCTTCCTCCCTTCCCTTTCCTTCTTCCTTTCCTTCCCTTTCCCTCTCTCCCTTCCTCTCTGTCTGTCTCTGCCTCCTTTCCTCCCTCCTTTCTTCCCTCCCTCCCTTCCTCCCTTCACCAGAGAGGGACAGAGTTTGTGTGTGTGTTGGGGGGAAGCAAGAAAGCGAGCTACCAGGTCCAGGACTCACAGTTGGCCATGTGGCAGTCCAGCATCCTTAACTATCACGCCACCTGCTGGCCCCTCTTTCTTTTCTTTTCTTTCTTTCTTTTTTTTTTTTTTTTAAATTTGGCAGCGAGCATGTAGACTTGCCAGAGAGAGAGGGAAAATCAGAAAGCATCCCCTCATGGGACATGGTAATACCAAATCCCTTCTCCTCCCCCTTTCCTTTTGGGATTTTGGGCATTCATGTACACACGCCCAGTGTGTTCTTCATGTCTCCAGCTTTGAGACTCAACCTGTACAGCTGGCCGTGTGGGATCTGACTGCCTGAGCCATCATACCACCCACCAGCCGGCCTGATACACCTCCTTTCTTGAGGTGCTCAAGAGACTGCCTATGCCTTAGCTGGTTTTTTTTTTTTTTTTTTTTAGCTTTTGACATCTGCCAGGCAGTGTGCTGTGTGACTGACCTGCGTTTTCTCATTTGATCCTGTTAATTGTGTATGGATATGGGTTTCATCTTCACTTAACAAGTGTGAAATCGAAGTGCTAGGATGGTTTACGCTACCTCATGTGAGGTCGCCTTCCAGGTTAGTGGGCAGATCATGCGCCACAGAGACCGCTGTCATTCCATGTCATCACCTTTGCTCACCACGTGGTGCTCGCTGCCAATCAACTAGTCCTATCTCTGCCCTTATTTATGTCAGAGCAAGTTAACTTACTTTGCCCAATCTTATGTCTAAAGTGAGAATAGTGATACTTAGCATATTTTAATCTTTTTTAAAAAATGAATTGTTTATTTTATTTGTTATTATTATTGTTTTTAATTTGACCACAGAGAGAGAAATGAGAAAGCAAGCCACCAGGTCTGGGACTTGAACCTCAGTTATCCATGTGGGAGTCCAGTGCCTTAACCACCATCCTACCTTCTGGGCCCCCTGCTTTAATCTTAATAATAATGACTGTATTGTTCAGTAATTCACTTTTTATAATATACTTTGCTGTGATTGGAATATTGAGATAGGTAAGAAAACTTGATTTTTAGGAAACTGTGTTACTGTAGACCGATGCGTGACTTGATCACATGTATATGGAGTCAGATTTAAGCCTTAGTTCTTGTGACACCACTGCCCATTTAGATGTCTGTGAAGGTGGTACCTAATCTGTGGGCCTGGAGAAGCTCTTTCAGGGCGAGTTTGTAGAGTGAGAATAGCGAATACAGGATAGCTCGAATAAAGAGCCTACCATAGATTTTCCCTGTGGCCCTTAATGTGACGTTCACGTTTAGATTTGTGTACCTTTTCTCTAGAGGTCCGGATTGCGGCTGTGGAAGCTCTCTGCATGTTGGCCCAGTCTTCACCCTCTTTTGCCGAGAAGTGCCTTGACTTCCTGGTTGACATGTTTAATGATGAAATTGAGGAGGTACGTCTGCAGTCCATCCACACCATGAGAAAAATCTCTAACAACATCACCCTCCGAGAAGATCAGCTGGACACTGTCCTGGCCGTGTTAGAGGTGAGTGTTCCCACTGCGTGACTCGTGAGCCAGGCATGGTGCTGGGCATGGGTGGCACAGCAGCGACCTGGCAGCACAGCTCTGCCTTCTCAGCAAACCTTTCCCCTAGATGGAGGAGGCTGTTAAACAGGGCATTTGAATCAACTTGGCATTGCTGTGATCATGAAAGGACAGGGTGCTGTGGAATCAGAGTTGGCTGATCTGAGGTTGGGGAGTTAGGGAAGAAAGAGGAAAGGGTGCAGTAGACACTCGAAGGTGCAGAAGCGCTGGTGGTGGGTGAGAGGGGGCCATGTCCGCGACCTAGCGGTGGGACCAGGAGATGGCATAATGGTTATGTCACTGGACTCCCATGTGGCTGGAGCTACTATTTTTCACTTTTAGTAGAATAGTGAATAAATTACATGAAATATTCAATACTTTGTTATAAAATAGGCTGTATATTAGTTGCTTTTGCCCAAGGGTAGGCATGCACCTTTTGGCAGTTAAAAAAAAAAAGAAAGAAATGTTTATAGTAATACTTACCAGTGAAATGCTATGATTTTTCTGACTGGCTTCAAAATAATATTATTAGGAAGAGTAGGTAAAAGTATGGATGAAACAGGATTGGCTTTGAGTTGACAGGTGTTGAAGCTAGGGGATTTATTATCTCTACTTGTTTTTCATTCTATTTTATTTTTAGTTTTGCTACAAGGTGTGTGCACTCACTGAAGAGAGACAGAGGGAGAGTGAGATATCATCCCCGGGGTGATGGCCTTGCCATGATCCCTTCTCCATTCTTTTCTTGGAATTTTGGGCACACACATACATGAACCTGGCATGTTCTTCGAATTGTCAGGTCTAGGACTTGAACTGTCCAGCTGGCCATGTGGGATCCAGCCATCTTCACCACCACACTACCTGGCTGGCTCTATTATCTCTACTTTTATTTGTTTACTTCATTTTTATTTGCCAGAGGTCGTGTGTACTTGGCAGTGAAAACTAGAGAGAGAGACTGAAAGAAAGTACCCCCCAGTGGCATGGTCATGCCACTATCCCTTCTCCATCCTATCAGGACTTGGGTTTGTGTGCTCATGTGTCTGCATGTTTTCTGGGTCACTGGCGCTGTGATTAGAACCCTGGTTGGTCTTGGGGTCCAGCTCCCTTAAGCACTAGTCTGCAGGCCGGCCTCTGGCTCCATCACCCATTGCTCACTTGTGTCTGCTCTGTGCCAGCCACGCTGGCTCCTGTGCTGTCTATCAGATGCACTTTCGCTTCATGGCCCTCGTGCATGGAACAAACCTCACCTATCCCAGCGCTCGCCTCCTTATCTTTCTAACGTATGTATTCCATGATTTACTTTTGTCTTTCCATTAGAATGACATTCCCATGGCCAGGGATTTGCTTTTAATCACTGCTCTATCCCCAGTACCCGGTGCATATGGATACTTGGAAAATGTTTGACGTTTAGTAAGTGTTCATTTGATGTTAGAGTTGTGAGTGAGTGAGCAAATGAATGAATCCTTCAAATCGCAACTCAGACGTCACCTCCTCTGTGACTTCCCTCTCAGAACACGGAGAGACCCTTCATTCTGGGCTCCTGTTGTGCCTCACCCTCACTTCCACACAGCTGTTCTCTGATGGCTGCTGTTTTTCTTCATGCATCTCCATCTCCTCATCTAGATAGTGGATTTCTGGAGAGCAGGAACCATGTCTGCTGTTCCACTTTCCTCCTGTATCTACAACCCCAGACACACCAAGCCACTGTATTTTTTAGCTCCTTCAGTGTCCTTTTACTGTCATTATCATTACTGTTTTACATTTACCAGAAGACACGTGTGCTCACTGGAGGAGAGAGACAGAGAGAGGGAAAGTAAGTGAGGAAGCACCCCAAGTAGGGGGGCCCGCATTGCATTCCCTTCTCCATTTCTCCACCTTTCAGGACTTGGGGCACACGTGCACACATGCACACATATTGCATGTTTTCCTTAAGCTGCTGGATCTGCGCCTTGAACTGTGCGGTTGGCCATGTGAGATCTAGCTGCCCTAACCATCTTGCCGCTGGCTGGACCTGTCAGTTCCTCTCAGATATATCAGATTTATGCTTCTTGAAATGCCTGCTGCCTCAACCCGTTTATCTGGTGAATTACTGTTGACTTTCAGCAATCGGCGATAGCTTTACTATTTACACGAGTCTGTCTATGCCTCTTCCAGGCAGCGTTGTGTGCCTGCTCCTCCACATCCCCACAGCACTCTGAGCTGGGATTGTTGCTGTGATTGCAAACGCACTTCACTGTCCTGTGAGCACCCCGAAATCAGGGACCATATGTGCTCATATTACTAACACTTATCATGCCGCTGGCTCCTGAGAAAAACCATACCAAATAGTGTTTGAATGATGGGACAAATTAATACTGAATAAAACACTGTGAATTAGGCTTATGCTCAGCTGCAGTTAACAGACTGACAGCCATGTAATGTCTTTTAAGTCCCAAACTAGGCAGTAGTGGAGCTGGGGCAGCTGCTGGCAGTGCCAGCGAATCTGGCTGCTTTCTTTCATTTGTGGTGACCTTCTTAGCCTGCTGTCCTCCGTAGTTTCAAGAAGGCTCCTTGTACATAAACCATCATGATTAAGTCCCAGGCAGGAAGGCAGAGGAGGACTAAGGAGCACGAGGGGACAAAGGCTATTTTTCTGTTTCTTATTTTAGCAGAAATACGGTAGCTGTTCCAGGTATCTCAGCCAGCATGCTGTGTCCTGTGGCTGCTCCAAATGGGAAGGTGGCTAGGGAGACGGGAATGGCGAATGGAGGCTGGGTCTGTGAACCAACAGTAACTACTGCTGCTATAACTACCTTATTTGTTTATTTTTAAGGATTCATCCAGAGACATTAGAGAGGCTCTTCATGAACTCTTATGCTGTACTAATGTTTCTACCAAAGAAGGGATTCACCTTGCGCTGGTTGAGCTGCTGAAAAACTTAACCAAGTACCCTACCGATAGGGACTCCATATGGAAGTGAGTGTTCTTTGCCCATCTCTTCACTGAGTCCTGCCATGCAGTGAAGGCGCAGTGTGGGAGGGGTTGTTCGGCAGTGTAAGGGTTGGGGCACTGATCAGTTTCTCTGCACTTCTCTTGGCTTTCTTCCCTTGGTTGTCAGACGGCTACTTAGAATACAGTATCTCAAGACAGAAAGGAAGGGACATTCCCTTCATGCATTTCTCTTTCCGATTGATTCTGAAAGTGTTCCCAGAGACTCCCCAGCAGCTTCCCCTCTTGCTCCAGTGACAAGAAGCAGGTTATTTGACTACCAGCAAAGCCACCGCAGGAATGGGGGATGGGAGAGCTGTGATGGGGTGGCCCGGTGGTGGTCCAGCCCCTGGGCCGGGTCTACTTGCTTTGAGCACTTTGTTGCCTGCCAAAGATCTGAGGAAAATGAGGACCCTTGGCAAAGAGGATGGGGAAAACGGCTGTTGGCTAAATAACTAGTAATATCTGCCCTCCTGGCTCTTTTATCTTGATAATAACTCGTTTTTTAGATGAATTAACTGAATTCCAGAATAATTCAATGACTTATCTGGAGTTCTAGAGTTAGCAAAATTGGATGGTTGAGAATCACCAATTTCCAACCCTGTTTTCTGATTCCAGTTCTGGTACCTTTTAGAGCACTTACTAATTTACCGAAATGAGTTTTTATTTGTTTCAGATGCTTGAAATTTCTGGGAAGTCGACACCCCACCCTAGTGCTCCCCTTGGTGCCGGAGCTGCTGAGCACCCACCCGTTTTTCGACACAGCTGAACCAGACATGGACGACCCAGCTTGTATCCTCCGTGTGCAGGGCAGGGCTGCCGAGTTGCCAGGAGCCCTGGGATCCCACTCTCTAATATAGCTTGGGTGGCCTGAATTTTATTTCTTTATTTTCTTTAGGTAAAAGAATAAGTGTGTCCTCAGGCAGCCTGATAGTTATTTTCATTTTTCTTTGCCATTTAATAGTACTAGTTATTTTTCCCATTTATTTAGTATGTGCTGTATTCTATGTCCTGTTTAACTGCTTTAAACATATCATTACTGTTCTTTCAAACAACCCTGGAAGGAGGTCATATTTACAGATGAGGAAACAGGCCCAGAGGGTTTAAATAACTTTTTTTTTTCTTTCAGTTTTTGCCATAGGTGCATGTACTCACCAGAGACAGAGGGAAAGTGAGAATTCATCCCCCAGTGGGCATGGCCAGGCCACAATCCCCTCTCTTCTGTCTTTTTCTCAGATATTTGGGCTTGCATGCACTTGCACCCAGAGTGATTCTCAAGCCACCAGATCTGGGACTGGAACCATGTGGGGTCCAGCCACCTTAACTACCACGCTACTTGGCCAGCCCCAGAAGTTTCCTTTTTAACATCTGAAGATTTACTAACCAAAATAATCTACTGTTAATATTTTGGTGTATCCCTCCCACTTGTTATTACATTTTTAAAAGACTGGCATTGGGATTTTGCCTCTGTTATTATGACTTATCTGGAGTTCTAGAGTTAGCAAAATTGGATGGTTGAGAATCACCAATTTCCAACCCTGTTTTCTGATTCCAGTTCTGGTACCTTTTAGAGCACTTACTAATTTACCGAAATGAGTTTTTATTTGTTTCAGATGCTTGAAATTTCTGGGAAGTCGACACCCCACCCTAGTGCTCCCCTTGGTGCCGGAGCTGCTGAGCACCCACCCGTTTTTCGACACAGCTGAACCAGACATGGACGACCCAGCTTGTATCCTCCGTGTGCAGGGCAGGGCTGCCGAGTTGCCAGGAGCCCTGGGATCCCACTCTCTAATATAGCTTGGGTGGCCTGAATTTTATTTCTTTATTTTCTTTAGGTAAAAGAATAAGTGTGTCCTCAGGCAGCCTGATAGTTATTTTCATTTTTCTTTGCCATTTAATAGTACTAGTTATTTTTCCCATTTATTTAGTATGTGCTGTATTCTATGTCCTGTTTAACTGCTTTAAACATATCATTACTGTTCTTTCAAACAACCCTGGAAGGAGGTCATATTTACAGATGAGGAAACAGGCCCAGAGGGTTTAAATAACTTTTTTTTTTCTTTCAGTTTTTGCCATAGGTGCATGTACTCACCAGAGACAGAGGGAAAGTGAGAATTCATCCCCCAGTGGGCATGGCCAGGCCACAATCCCCTCTCTTCTGTCTTTTTCTCAGATATTTGGGCTTGCATGCACTTGCACCCAGAGTGATTCTCAAGCCACCAGATCTGGGACTGGAACCATGTGGGGTCCAGCCACCTTAACTACCACGCTACTTGGCCAGCCCCAGAAGTTTCCTTTTTAACATCTGAAGATTTACTAACCAAAATAATCTACTGTTAATATTTTGGTGTATCCCTCCCACTTGTTATTACATTTTTAAAAGACTGGCATTGGGATTTTGCCTCTGTTATTTTGTCACATAGTGTATTTCATCAATATGTGCTGATAACCAGTATCTTGCAATCATATCTTCTATATATTTTAGAGTCTATGTTTCACTTTTGAAAAACTCCTTATGATATACTATTGCAAATTCTTCATTAATATAATTTTCAATGATTGCCTAATATTCTGGTAAATGAAACATAAGTTGTATAATCATTCTCCTGTTTTTGAATATTTAGATTATTTGATTATGCACTATTATAAGTGATTCTGTGAAATTAGGTTATTTACTTAGCATGCATTTTTGAGATGTAGAATTATTCAGTATTCATAATACTCTTACTGCCTTGTATCAAATTATTATCCAAAGTGATGGTGCTAGTATATACTTCGATATGCAGTGTACCAAGAGTTTCTGTTTGTTGGTTATTCTCAGTAGTATTGGGCATTATTTAAAAAAAAATTTTGGTTACTGAGAGTCAGGGTAGAGTGGAAAAATATATCTTCTTTGATTTTACGTTTCTTTGATTTGTACAAAATTGCAGTCCCTGAGTGGGAATTTTGGAGATGGAAAGTGGTGGGGATTTTTTCCCATTGTTTTTTTTTTTTTTACTTTTTTTTTACAGTCTGGAGAGGGCTCCAGACTGGCCAAGCTCAGCATCTTATACTTCAAAGTTGACTTAACCCACTGATGTGTCAGACATTGCAGTTTTGGTCCTCATTTTCAATGCTGCTAAAACCTGCCCAACGATGCCAGCGTTATTCTCAGATCACACCTTCAGACACTACGCCTACCTCAGAGACAGTCTTTCTCATCTTGTTCCTGCCTTGAGGGTATGTTAAGAACACGGTTGTCTTTGCTTTTGATGTTTTGATTTTTGATGCTTTGTGGCCTCCATTCTTCCCTCCCTTCCTCTTCCCCTCCCTTCCTCTTCCCCTCCCTCCCTCCCTCCCTCCCTTCCATCCTTTCTTATTTGCAAGAGGGTACATGAGAGAGACAGAGAGAGAGAAAAACAAGAAAGCACCCCCTATGGGGCAACACCTTTTCTTCCATCACTTCCTCTGTTTGGGATTTCGGGCACACACACATGCCTGCTATATTTTTTAAGCCGCAGGGTCAGGACTCAAATGGTGTAGTTGGCCATGTGGGATTAAGCCTCCTTAACCATCATGCCACCAGCTGCCTGGCTTTCTTGTGATTTTTAAATAGGAGAAAGTAAAATGTAATCTCTGAAAACTCGCTTATCCATACGCTTTCTCTCTGGGGCTTTTTCCTTTTTTTTTTTTTTTTTTTTACTTTTTTTTCTGTATCCTTTAAGAAGATTCATTTCTAAGAACAGTGTCCCTGGGTTTGGTGATATTAGGCAGGAAAAAGTAAATCTGGAAAAAGAGATTATTTTTTAGGCCAAGGATTAAATTGTTATATTTTAACAATTACATAAAGCCAGATTCAAGTCAATGTTAATTTTTTAAAACAGTAAAACTGGTACTGTTTTTAAAGCTTAGAGAAACAGAAAGCAGAAAATGTTACCATGGACCACAATGATAAATGCAGCCGCTAGTGAATGCTGTGTGCCCGGTACTCTTCCGAGCTCTCTCTTTGTGTCAGGTCCTCCCTGTTCAGGGAGCTCTGAATGACTTTGTTTGGAATGATATTCTCTACCTAATGTACGTGGGTAGAGAAACTGAACTTTATGAAGATTCAAAATGAAAAGTGGTATCCTCTCTGCTGTCCCCTCATCGTCCCTTTCTTGAAAGGTAATCACTCCTCCCATAAAACATTTTATAGCATTTTTTTTCTATTTTATTTATTTAAAAAATTTTTTATTCTGAGAGATTTTTGCTACAGGACACATGCGCATGCTAGAGAGACAGAACATAAAAAGTCATCTCTGGGAGGATGATCATGCAACAATCCCTTCTCCTCCATTCTCCTCTTGGGATTTTGGACATGCATGCACACATGCCCGGTGTGAAGTTTAAGCCGCCGGCTCCAGGACTTGAACTGTAGTCAACTACATGGAGTCCAGTAGTAGAACCACTTAGGCCATCTGCTAGTCCCTATTGTTATTATTTTAGAAATTTGACCAGAGAGAGAGAGGGAAAGTGAGAAAGAAAGCTGCCAGATCTAGGACTCAAACCATGGTTAGTCATGCGGGAGTCCAGCACCTTAACTCCCATGCCTCCTGCTGGCCCCATAGTTTATAGCATGTTACAGAATCTTATTTGGGAATAAATCATCACTGTTCTATTAAGTGAAAGGCAGAATAAATCTAAAGTAGGTTAATTTTTAGTCCCTTTCTTATAGTTAGTGCATTTATTTTAGTTAGCAACAGGAAATAGCATTCTACCATTTATTTTTTTCATTTTCTTTTGGCAGCTGCGGCTTATTGGGTAGACTATGTTTGCTTTCTTTCTCTCCCTCTCTTTTGCTGTTTCTTTCCCACTGTTTTTCTGGTATCTTTGTATTACCAGAAGCTGAGCCACAGGCCTTGACAGCACTAACTTTCCACTGTGTTTGCTTAGTTACCAGGTAGAAAGCTCGTGTCCTCAGCCGTTTCCCCGAACATAATGCCTCAAGAGGACCCTTCCCAGCAGTTCTTGCAGCAGAGCCTTGAGAGGGTGTATGGCCTTCAGCACCTGGACCCTCAGGGAGCTCAGGAGCTGCTGGAGCTCACCATCAGGTAAGCGGTCATCCCTTTCCTCCAGCAGAGTTCATTTTTTTCTTTTCTTTTTAAGTGTATTTCTTCCATGTGAAAGACAGAGAGGGAAAACAAGGAGACATACCCTAGTAGGGTCGTCATGCCATAGTCCCCCAAGCCAGGACCGTGGGCGTGTACTTGTGCACCATGCAGTGTGCAGGTACAGGGAGACCTCCGGACGGGAACCTAGAACTCTCTCCTGTGTCTTCAGCATTGCCGAGATGGTGCTACTGCCATGCCACCACGGCCGGCCTGACAGAATCGGTTTTTACGTGTTATTTTCAGCTGCCCTGTTTCAAATTCCACTGTTGATTATTAGGCTTGGTTTTCTGAACGTGTTGGCCTACACATCAACATAGCTCTATGGTCTGTTTGTATTTGGATTAGATTAGGTTTGAGCATTTTTTAATTTTTAAAATTTTTTTATTTTTTATTGCTAGAATCACCTGGGTTTGACAGAGATTGCAAGTGAGCCAGAGAGAAAAGGCATTCCTTCAATGGATTGTGTTCACACCACAATCCTTTTTGAACTATTTCTCACTCCCTTCTGGATTTGGGGCATGTACACACATGAACCCAGCATGTTTCTAAAGACAGGGATTTGAGCCTTGGTCAGCCATGTGTGATCTGGATCCCTATGCACAGTGTTTAACCACTGAGCCATGGGGCTGGCCCTGAGCGTTTTTTTTAAAAAAAATGGTCTTTGCATTCATGATTCAACTGATGAGTATAAGATAGAAAAATAGTTGTAAAGAAACTGGTTTCATTTTTTCTTTCTTGTATATTTGTTAGAATTGGTGTCCGAAACGCAGAGTAACAGTGGCTCAACCATGAGCTTTGCTCTCTCATAGGCAGGACACAGCTGAGATCCCGTCAGGGCTCACGCTCATCATTTCTCCTGTCTCTACCTTCCCGCGTCAAGCGGCTTCAGTCTAATGGTCCAAAATTGAACTCTCCCCTCTGTATTCCAGTCCATGGGAAAAGGAAAGGGCAAGAGAAGGAAATAATTTCTACCCCACCCCTTCTAAAAACTCTAATTGTAGTTGTATCCCCTTGACGAGACCTCAGGTCACACATGGCCATATCTAGCTTCAAGGATTCGGGAAGTGCAGTGTTTACACTGAGTGACTGGGCTTGGTTAGCGTCTGATGATTGTTACTCAGGAGGAAGGGGAGAAAAGACACCGGGGAACGACCAGCAAGCTCTGTCAGACCTTGCTAAAATGGCCTGAATGCTAAGAAAACCATCAAAGCCTATATGCTTTTAGGAAAAGCAGTAGTGTTGTTTGCTCTTAAAAGAGAAAAATGTGATTGTCATTTGTAGTTTGGTTGAGATTTCTTTCGTTCCTGATACCTGAAATATACTGGTAACAGCTGCATGAACTTAATAATTTTCGGTGGATGACTTCATTGCAGAGACACCAGCTCTGTGCTGGACGCAGGTCAGCAAATAGGGTTTTGCCTTTTGAAAGCCACGGGGATGAGATGGACAGAGACAGGATGGGAGATGGACAGAGACAGGATGGCAGATGGTAGTGCTTCCACCCTGACTCGTGTTTTCTTCTCCATTATTGCATCTTTTTTTTTTTTTTCTTTTTCTTTTCCTAGGTTTTTGCTATATGGCGTGTGCGCTCACCAGAAAGACAGAGACAGAGAGACAGGAAGAAATCACCCCCCAGGGGGATGGCCATGCCGCAATCCCTTCTCCATTCTCTTCTTGGGATCTTAGGCATGCACGCACACACACCTGGCGTGAGTTTAAGCCACCGGGTCCGGGACTTGAACCGTGGTCGACTACATGGGAGTCCAGCGACATAGCCATTATGTTAACTATTGGTCCCCAGTTTCTTTTCTATAGGGCATAAGTGCTCTCCCAAGAGAGACAGAGTGAAAGAGAGAAAGGGAAAGTGCAAAATCACCCCCTAGGGGGATGGCCATACTGCAGTCCCTTCTCCAGTCTCCTGTTGGGATTTTGGGTACTTGGGCACACATGCACACATGCTTGGTGTGATTTTCAAACCTCTGGGTTGAGGACTTGAACTGTCCAGCCGGTGGGATCTAGCACTTTAACCCCCACACCACGTGCTGGAGGTGCGTCTCAGGAAGCAGTCCGTCTGAGCCATTCTCCAAGTTGTTTATGCACTGTGTGAGATCTTGTCCTGTTCTAAACTCTGCCATTTACTCAGCAGCATTGACTGTGCTTATTCTAATTGGCCAGACGCTGAGGAGGGAGAGAAATATGAGAGAAATATGACTTAGTTCTCAAGGTTCTCAGTGACCATTATAGGACCCCCGGGAGAACTCATCGGTGAGGTAAATACTGCAATCGAGGCAAGAGTAAGTCTGTGGAAAAACAGATGCAAGTCCCTGACCTAGCAGATGGGGGCGACCAGGGGCACATTGCAAAGGAGAAGGCCCATCAGTGCGGGGCGTGATAACCGAGCACGCCACTGTGCAGTCTGGGGCGGAGGAGAATCCGGTTGCAGCGGACAGGCGGAGAACCAGGCAACGTGAGAGAGCTGGTCTCCTCACAGAGCGGCAGGGCATGATCGAACGGTGGGGCTTCGAAGGTTGGCTGTCTTGGGTTCTAGACTGAGCGCCACCGCCTCAGAGTTGATCTTAGGTGGTGTGTTTTTTCAGGGTTCATTTATAGAAAATAGAATGGGTTTTTATCTAATTCAAGCAGAGAAGACATCTACTACAGTACACTGCATGCCTCAGCATTGGTGGGCAAGCTAAAGACAGACGAGGTTGAATTTCCCAGGATGGTGTCCAGAGCCATAGCACCAGGGGCGTGCCCACTGAGTCAGGGTGCCGCCCCTGGCTCCAGAATTGTGTCCTGCACTCCGTCTCTTTCCCCACGTCACTATGCCACACTCATGAGAGTGGGTTTGATGGACAGATACTCAGTCGCTGGTGGAACCTGGTCACGAGCCTGAGAGATGCAGGGCACCTTCGCAGCCTGTGGGTTCCAGGGAGGTACATAGGTGAGGACTGCAGTATGCACGAGTGAGCCAGCCGTGGCAGTTGCCCCCAACTTGAACTGCTCAAGGTCAGTTTTCTCACCTGCAGGACCTGGTGACTCATAGGGTACAGCAGTGGGAAGGAGGAACTGGGAGAGGCACATGGTAGTCTGGTAACTCTTAACAAGTTGAGGTGCTTCCTGGGCTTCTCTGGAAACACTGCAGGCCAAAGTGGGCAGGCTTTGGGGACAGTGCCCCCACAGGTGCGGGCACAGGCGTGACAAAGTGCACATCCTGCTCTTCTGCCTGAGGAACTTGGTCTGCTGCTCCTCGGGGGTCCTCCATCTTGCAAAAGCCATGCCGAGCAGAGGCCCGTTGGCTTTCTGTGTTCCACAGTACTCCAGCAGGGCGGCCCCACGCAGGGAGGTTCCCAAGGTCCCTGCCGAGCACAGTCCTTTGCAATCTGACAAAACATACCTGCTGTGGACTGCACGCTTCGAATTGGGTCAGGAGATCCTGCCTCCCTCCGATCACACCAAAAATGATAGACGCTGCAAGAAACAAAGCTCAGGTGAAAGCTTGTAATGGAATCGTTAGGGTGTATCGAGATAGTGTCAGCCAGAGGGCTGCAGAGCGACAGGAAGCCCTCCACTGGAACCTGGCAAACGGAGAAGCTGTGGTGGCTACACATCACTTAGCTATTCCAAGTGACGTGTTCTCCTGATTCCCATCTCTAAGCAGCAGCAGTGAAAGATGCTTTTTAAGCATTGACGCGATTTTTAGCATGCCAGTTTGCTCACACGTGCATTCAGCCGATACTTGTGTGTCCTGTGAAGTGCCCAGCACTCACATTCTTTCCTCTTCTCCCTCACCAGAGTGCTTCATTAAGGAGGCCACTAAACAAGGTTGCTGGCTCTGAGCCCAGGAAAATCAGCTCTACTTCCTGACTCATCACCACCTGAATAAACATGTAGGTTTTGTCCGTGACCGTTTTATCCTGTTGGCACTGAAGCAAGTGCGGGACGCGCTGAAGCACGCCAGTTCGGTCCCTGGTTGCGGTGCCAGGTGTTAGGAGTGCTCAGGGAATACCTACTGTTAGTTCGAGTTGCCTTCATGACCTGGGTTTCCCAAGGTGAGAGTCGTGTTGGGCTTTGGAGTGACCAGACCACCATGCAGTGCCACAGGCTGTCCTGGACACTGCGTTTCCAGCTTGAGAACATTCTCAGGATGGTAGCTGAAAAATCCTGAAAGGAGAGCAGTCGCTACCAAGATCTACTGAGCTTTACGCAGATGATTTGCAGATGTGAAAATACTTGGTAGGAAGTGGCAGAACCAGGATTTGAACCCAGCTTTGTCTAACTGAAACTGATGGTCTGTGCAGTGCACCAGTGGAGGGGATTCCTGCGTCGAGTAGAGATTAAAGCCAGAGATCCCTGGGGTTCTTCACAACTCACAGGTTTGTAGTCGTAGGAAAGTGGATGTTGGACAGGTCCATACAGAGGCTCTCTGACCTCGACTGGGGTCGTGAGTTTGTTGGCAGTCGCGCCTGCCTCAGCGTTGCCGTCAGCAATGGGCCACAAGTGGCGGCAGTCCCGTCCACTGCAGTAGGCTGCATCCTACAGCCCGGGTGGACGGTGGGCTCTGCCTTCTCGGTTTGTGGAAGTGTGCTCTGCGACGTTTGCACAGTGACAGCATCAGCCAGCAGCCATTTCTCGTGACACATGGCTGTTAGTGTAAACAGACTTCACCTTTGCTCGTGTTGCCCAAGCAGCTGTTTGACCCGACCAAGGTCTCACGTTATAGGATTCTGCTGCGGTTCCATGAGGGGTCTGGGATATGATTTTTGTTTGTTTCTAGAACTTGACATCAATGTTAGGTTGTCGGAAAAGTCATGACATATTTTTCTGTTTTTCTATGCAAAAATGCATCATGACTTTTCCAACGACACAATATTTTGCCTTCACCACTTTGCCTTGAGTGTCTTACAGGGTGCTATGGTATAGATAATGGTTTGTCCCCCAAAGTTTATGTTCTGAAAACCTGGTCCATGTAATGGTATCTGGAGGTCGTGAGACCTCTAAGAGAGAAAACCCACGTTCAGTTTGTAGAGCACCTGCCAGAGTCCACTGAAAAGGAAGACGCACCTTCCGTGTGGGCATCCAGTTGTCTGGGAGAATGAGAGGGAGAAAAAGTGAAAGTGGAGGAATCTGTTATTTCTTTCCCTTCCCCCTTTTCTTGTGAGCCTGCCTTTCTTGCTCTGCTTCTGTCAGCCTCCTTGTGACATGACGTCAGATGCTAGCCAGATGCCAGCCTCAGGCCTTTGGATTTTGCAGCCACCAGAATCCTGAGCCAAGTAAATATACAAAAAATTTATTTTATATTATTTATTGTTATTATTTTTTAATTTGCTGCAGGGCACATGTGCTCACCAGAGAAAGACAGAGAGAGAGAGGAGGAAAGTGAGAAAGCAAACTGCAGATCCAAGACTCAAACTGTGGTCAGCCATGTGGGAGTCCACCATCTTAATTACCATTCCACCTGCTGGTTCCACTAAAAAAACCTTTATTTTGTTTTTTAAAGAAATATTTATTTAATTTTATTTATTCATTTAATTTTTAAGTTTCCAGAGAGACACAGAGACAGAGAGAGAGACAGAAAGAGAGAGGAAGTGAGAAACCAAGCCACCAGGTCTGGGACTTGAACCATGGTTGACCATATGGGAGTGTCCAGCACCTTAACCACTATGCCACCTGCTGGTCCCCATTTATTTTATTTTTATTAAAGAATTACTCACTCTTGGGACCAGCAGTTAGCATAATGGCTATGTCGCTGGACTCCCACGTAGTCGACCGCAGTTTGCGTCCCGGACCGGTGGCTTAAAACTCACGCCGGGTGTGTGTGCGTGCATGCCCAAGATCCCAAGAGGAGACTGGAGGAGAAGGGATTGCGGCGTGGCCATCCCCCCTGGGGGGTGATTTCTCGCTTTCTGTCTCTCTGTCTGTCTGGCGAGCGCACGCGCCCTATGGCAAAAAAACCTCTCCAAAAAAAACAAAAAGAATTACTCTTATTTATTTTTATTATGATTACCTTTAATATGACCAAAGAGAGAGAGATAGAGAGAGAATGAGAAAGCAAGCTGCCAGGTCTGGGACTTGAAAAACACTTGGCTGGCCT